GGATGCCAGCCCCCAGAATTAAAGATGCACTTCCAAAGCCCTTTCAATTAATATTAAGTAGGTGGCAGCTGTTATTGCATCCTGCGTTTAGACAGATCGATTCACGGAGGATAAGTCTGTCAGCAGCTACAAGCCATGGCGACTGAGGGCTACCTCCACATTCAGAGGCACGAAGCCTCTGAATCCCAGAGCCAGGAGGCAGCATCAGGGGAACGCTCTTTTCCTGTTGTTGGCCCTCCAGAGGAACTGGCTGGCTACTGTGTGAGACAGGAGGCTGAACTAGATAGACCCTCGCTGGTCTGATCCAGCACGGCTCTTCGGAGGTTCTTATCAGGGGAAGGCCTCGGCCTCTCTGCCCTGTTGCTGGCCCTCCAAAGGAACTGGCTGGCCCCTGTGTGAGACGGGAGGCTGAACTAGATAGACCCTCGCTGGTCTGATCCAGCACGGCTCTTCGGAGGTTCTTATCAGGGGAAGGCCTCGGCCTCTCTGCCCTGTTGCTGGCCCTCCAAAGGAACTGGCTGGCCCCTGTGTGAGACGGGAGGCTGAACTAGATAGACCCTCGCTGGTCTGATCCAGCACGGCTCTTCGGAGGTTCTTATCAGGGGAAGGCCTCGGCCTCTCTGCCCTGTTGCTGGCCCTCCAAAGGAACTGGCTGGCCCCTGTGTGAGACGGGAGGCTGAACTAGATAGACCCTCGCTGGTCTGATCCAGCACGGCTCTTCGGAGGTTCTTATCAGGGGAAGGCCTCGGCCTCTCTGCCCTGTTGCTGGCCCTCCAAAGGAACTGGCTGGCCCCTGTGTGAGACGGGAGGCTGAACTAGATAGACCCTCGCTGGTCTGATCCAGCACGGCTCTTCGGAGGTTCTTATCAGGGGAAGGCCTCGGCCTCTCTGCCCTGTTGCTGGCCCTCCAAAGGAACTGGCTGGCCCCTGTGTGAGACGGGAGGCTGAACTAGATAGACCCTCGCTGGTCTGATCCAGCACGGCTCTTCGGAGGTTCTTATCAGGGGAAGGCCTCGGCCTCTCTGCCCTGTTGCTGGCCCTCCAAAGGAACTGGCTGGCCCCTGTGTGAGACGGGAGGCTGAACTAGATAGACCCTCGCTGGTCTGATCCAGCACGGCTCTTCGGAGGTTCTTATCAGGGGAAGGCCTCGGCCTCTCTGCCCTGTTGCTGGCCCTCCAAAGGAACTGGCTGGCCCCTGTGTGAGACGGGAGGCTGAACTAGATAGACCCTCGCTGGTCTGATCCAGCAGGGCTCTTCTGAGGTTCAAATAAGAGGTACCATCTGCAAGATGCCATCTTTTGATTGAACTGCTCTGAAACATCTAGAGCACTTTAGAATCGTGCAATAGTGTAATGGCTGTTTTTATGCTGTTTCAACCTGTTTTATGTATTGGCATGTGCCCTGTTGGTGAGCCGCCCTGAGCCCGCTTGCGGGGAGGGCGGTCTATAAATTAAAATAATAAATAAATGAGAATGCCCTTATTAATACAACCCAATGTTGCCTTTTGGGGCTGCATCTCACAGCTGAAACTATCCCAGTTTATTGTCCACTTTAACCCCCTAAAACCTTCCATGCCGTCACACGCCACAGACTGTGACCCTGCACAGATCCTTCCGCCCTCTTGCAAGTGACCCCGAGCTTCACGCTACCCCTGTTGTCAGTGGAATACTTAAATGCCACCATCGTACTGGCTCTCATAGGGGTTTCAAATGCTCTTGACTAGCTCAGGGATGTCCCCAGTGCCCAACTGTGGCATTCCTAGAAGACTATTGATAAGGGACACAGCTGGTTTGACGGTCAGGACCAAAGTAGTCCCTCAGTGGTGATCCAGGGGACCATGTGTAGCCAATTTTACCTCAGCCTTCTTCCAAGAAGCCCCAATCAGCCTACAGGGTGTCAAGCTCAACCTTAACTTTTGTTTTCCTGAAGTTCTGCTTTTCTTCTCCTTCGCTTGTCATGTTGAATTCCGGGGTGGTGGGGGTGTTGTTGTTGTAAGAGTGCATGGGAGTAGACAGCCAGTTTGGCGTAGTGGTTAAGTGCGGGGACTCTAATCTGGGTTTGATTCCCCACTCCTCCACTTGCAGCTGCTGGTTGACCTTGGACAAGCCATAATTCTGTCAGAGCTGTTCTTGAAAAAGAGCAGTTCCTGACAGAGCTCTCTCAGCCCCACCGACCTCACAGGGTGTCTGTTGTGGGGAGGGGAAGGGAAAGGAATTTGTAAGCTGCTCTGAGGCTCCCTTGGGTAGTGAAGGGCGGGGTATAAATCCAACCTCTTCTTCTTCTTCTAGATGCTGTAATTTTCCTGAAGCTGTGTCCCAAGTGTTGGTTCCCATGAGACTGACCTTGGAGAAACTTTGTGCCTAGCCTAGGTTAGATAGGGCACCATATATCTGTCTGTGTTGCCACAGAAACGCCAGGGGTAGGTGTGACGTGGGTGAATTTGGAATTTTATGCTTTTACCTATAACCTGTATGTTCCCGCGTTTTCCCTTCAGTCCTAACAAAAGTTCTTAAGCCCACAGCAAGCATATCTTTAATAAACACTTCACTGCCAATAGTGTGTGTGGAGAGTGAGTTAGCCGGGGACCTGACACATTGTTCACTCCTCCATTTGATCGTTCCCAACAATCTTGCAAGGTAGGTTAGCCTACGAGTACCACCAGAAAAGCAGGATGCAAATATTTTAAAACCACACAAAAAGAGAAACAGAAAGAGACTGGCACAAGCTCACCCAGGAAGCCAAGTGGGGATTCGAACCCAGAACTCCCCAGTCCTAGTTTATGACCCTCTAACCCCTACGCCACACGAACCCTCCGAGAGGCATCTACCCACTCAGCGATACATCACAACAAAAGGGTGCAGTTTAGGGGCATCACATCATGGCAGGACTCCCGAGCCTTTCACGGCAGCGCAGCAGGCAGAAATTCAACAGGTGATGTCCCCCCAAGAATTCTCGAGGCCGAGAAAGGCTTTACCTGTTGGATTGTAGGACCCAGCTTGATCTCAAGCAGCCCATTTGGCACACGCAAACACCACCTGCATGACAGTCCAATCATACGTGTCGCCAACTGTCCTGTTACACAGGATAAGCCAAAAGAGAACCATGCCACCTTTAGTCTCAAATTTCTTTCTCTTAAACTGGATAGCCCAGGCTGGCCCAATCTCTCCAGACCTCGGCAGCTAAGTGGGGTCAGCTCAGGTCAGTATTTGGAAGTCCAAGGTCACTACACTGAAGCAGGAGAGAAGAGGAAGAGGAGGAAGAAGAAGAGATTGGATTTATACCCTGCCCTTCACTCGGAGTCTCAGAGCGGCTTCCAAACTCCTTTCCCCACAACAGACACCTTGTGAGGTAGGTGGGGCTGAGAGAGCTCTGACAGAAACGGCTCTTTTTCAAGAACAGCTATGCCAGAACTATGGCTTGCCAAGGTCATCCAGCCAGGTGCAAGTGGAGGAGTGGGGAATCAAACCCGGTTCTCCCAGATTAGAGTTCCTACACTTAACCACTTACACCAAACTGGCATTCCACTCCACAAACCCCCTCTCTTCATCTCTTGCCTTGAAAACCCCATGAGGGGTCGCCATAAGTCGGCCGCAACGTCGTCGGGCTTTCCACGGGGTTGCCAGCTCCAGGCTGGGAAATTCCTGGAAATTTTGGGGAGAGGGAGGGACTTTGATGGGGAATAATGCCATAGAGTCCCCACCTTCCAAAGCAGCCATTTTCTCCTGGGGAATGGTTATCTATCGCCCGGAGTTCGGTTGTAATAGCGGGTGATCTCCAGCCGCCACCTGGAGACCGGCAACCCTAGCTTTCCATCACCATCCACCAGGCACCAGATTTCACCAAAGCCGCTAAGGTCCAGAGAGCCAGAGAACCCAGTTTTAAGGCCAAAGTCAGTTTGGTGTAGTGGTTAAGTGTGCGGACTGTAATCTGGGAGGACCGGGTTTGATTCCCCCACTCCTCCACTTGCAGCTGCTGGATGACCTTGGGCAAGCCATAGTTCTGATAAGAGCTGTCCTTGAAAAAGAGCAGTTTCTGTCAGAGCTCTCTCAACCTCACCTACCTCACAGGGTGTCTGTTGTGGGGAGGGGAAGGGAAAGGAGTTTGTAAGCCGCTCTGAGACACCTTTGGTTAGTGAAGGGCGGGGTAGAAATCCAATCTCTTCTCTTCTCTCTTCTCTTCTACAGTCCAAGCGTAGGCAGGCTCGCCAAATCGATAGGACTTTCTGATCCGACCCCCTATCCCTTCTTCTTTGTAAGATTTGTTCCTAAGGGGTGGAGGGGAACACCAAAGCATCAAATGCCTTCAGAGCCAAGGTTTTTAAACTGTATTTATGTATGTCTTTTATGTAAGCCGCCCTGAGTCCTGAGCCCGCCTTGGAGGGGAGGGTGGGGTATAAATCGAACTAATAAATAAATAAGGTGGATCCGGAAAAAGGTTTGACAGTTCAAGGGGCTCTTGTGGGCCATTTAACCCTTTCAGGGACCCCCCTCTCGGGCTTCCCGTCTCTGCCCTTGAGCCTTGTGCCGGATGGGGAAGCCATGGGCCTTTGAGGTTTCCTTTAGGCAGGCACGCTTTCACACATCTGTATTATTAGCTCCCACATCTGTGCGTCTACACACTCATATACCCACCACACCAGCTCTCTTCTGCAAAAAAAGAAAATGGGACCCCCCCCAAAAAAACCAATGCAAAC